GGGACTTCATTTTTATCGATGAATATGATTTCACTGTGCAGCTATACCACGTTTTATTCATTCATTCATTCGTGACAGGCATTTGAGCTGTTTCCACTTTTTCTCCATTATGACTAACGCTGCTATAAACATTCATGTACAAGTCTTTGTGTGGACAGATATTTTCATTTCTCTTGGATTAATACCTAGGGGTGAAATTGCTAGGTCACATGGTAACCCTACATTTACCTTTTTTGAGGAACAGCCAAAACTGCTTTTCAAAGAGGCTGCACCATTTTACATTCCCACCAGCAATGCATGAGGGTTCCAGCTTCTCCACATCCAAGTCAACACTTGTTATTGTCTGTCTTTTTGATGACACCCTTCCTAGAGGCTATGAAGTAGTATCTCAATGAGGTTTTCATTTGCACTTTCCTAATTACAAATGATGTTAACCACCTTTTCATGGGCTTTTTGGCTATCTGTATTTTCTTAATGAAATGTCTATTCAGATCCTTTGCCCATTTTTAAACTGGTCTTTTTCTTGTTAAGCTGTAAGACCTCTTTATATACAGTTGGCCCTCTGCATCCACAGGTTCCACATCTGAGGATTCAACCAACCATGGATCAAAAATATTCAAAAAAAATGTTACGCTGTTGCTGAAGTGTACCACGTAGTTAGGCCTACAGCGGTCGAGTTTATACTGAAGATGTGCTGACTTTTTTCTTGTCATTATTCCCTAAACAATACAGTATAAAGCTATTTTATATAGCATTTACATTGCATTAGGTATTATAAGTAACCCAGAGATGATTTCAAGTATTTGGGGGGATGTACATAGGTTACATGCAAAGACTATGCCATTTTATATAAGGGACGTGAGCATCTGCAGATTTTGGTATCCGCGGTGGCTCCTGGAACCAATCCCCTGCAGATACCGAGGGATGACTGTATTCCGGATACTAGGCCCTTATCAGATATTTGATTTAGCAAATATTTTCTCCCACTCTGTGGGCTGTGTTTTCACTTTCTTGATTGTGTCCTTTGAAGCACAGAAGGTTTTAATTTTCATGAAGTCAATTTATCAAGATTCTCTTTTATCGTTCGGGGTTTGGTGTGGTAATAAACCGCTGCCTAACCTCAGACCATGAGGATTTACTCCTGTGTTCTCTCCTAAGAGTTTTATGGTTTCATCTCTTACAGTTAGGT